CAGTTGGGCAGTTTTTTCTGAAGCGTGCAAGCCGTTCTTAACAAATGTTATTATGCCTCCACCCCTTCTGTTTTCTCTGTCTCGGCGGAACAGTTGAAATCCAGGGAGCATGAGCTCTCTTTTATCAACCTGTTCGGACAACCATGTATGTGTTATGCAGATAACATCTGGATGGAGGTCGTAGGTATGGATACGGAGTTCGTCCCGTTTAGAAAGTACACTTTGCGCGTTGGTATACATGAATATGAGTTTCGAGTTCATGCGAGATTTGTTTTCATACCCGACACGGGCTACTGGGGTAGCTGTGCAGTCATTCGGATCGGCTTGAACCAGAGGGGAGCGGAATGTCGTTTGACAATCCGGTCTTTGTAGATTGTCAAGTTTTTTTCTCCGTTGGTTTGCCGTGTTCTCAATTCTAGGACAAGTTCGCGGCGTTTCATTCTCTCGGCAGGTGAGTAGTCCGGCTGAAAAAAAAACACTCCTGTATGGGAATGCTTCATTCGAAAACGCCTGGAAAGTATAAGTTTCGCCTGCTCATTGCTACCAAGAACGATTTTTAGGGGTCGTGATCGCGTCTCCGGAGCGGCATTTGTACGGCTACCAAGACGAAACGCCTTTAGGACTGTGACATCTTCTGTTGGTTGCAGCATTTCATTGAGGAGTTTCTGGAATTGCTCTAAGTCAGCAGCGATTCTTTCCCTGGGAGAACTGGCGGAGGACTCTGCGAGGCCCTGAATTATGACACAGTGGTCCTTGTTAAGCATTCCTCTGTTTTCTGCGATTTGGACGTCGTTGGCTGGCCCTATTGCCTCGTCGAAGTGGACTGGAGAAGAGGAAGGGGCTGCCATATTGGTATTTATGTCCCCGTGAAGTTCGTCCGCGGATCCTGTTAAGGCATCGTGAATAGTTGCACACTGGGATCTATCAACAATACCTCCCATCAGAGGGCTCTGTGGAGAGCTTGACCCCCATGAATTAGAGGCTTCCTCAGCTCGGTTCTTGACTCTGTTGACATGGGAATTCGCGGTGGCAGCTAATTCCACCCTGGGTCCATAGCCATATGTCTTTGCGCTAACTGATAATCCCTCTAAGTTAGGCTCAGGAAATGAGAACACAGTCTGGGAATTATTAAGATTGGGCGTCATCTGCCCCATTACTTCCACTTCATCCGTTGGCATATTTACATTCGTTTCATTTTCCAACCGCTTTTCGGGTAAGGCTAATATACTCTCTTTCGTATTCTGGCGACTTTACCCTGTGGTGTTAAGTGTCGTCTTCTTCCTCTTATTCTTTTTTTCATCGGAAGCCACGACTTGATTACTAATAGTAGTTGTCTTATTCACCCCATGATTGCTTTCTGGGGATTCCTTACGTTGGATGGCTCTCGCTCTACTCCGAGTTAGCCTCTGCGTAGATAACACTGGGCGGTCCTCTGAAGGAACAGTCTTGTGTACAAGTTCCTTCAGATTTCTTACTTCTTCCTTTAGTTGATGCATTCTGTAGGCTATCGTTTGACAACCATTACATGTAGGGGTTAGCAGAGCGAGCCCTAAGTTTTGAGGTCCCCGGTTCAAATCACAAGTGCGCGTTACTTTGGAACACTAGTGCAGACTCCAACATTCTGGATAACTTTTCTATATACACAAAGAGCGTAGACTTAAGTATGAAGGAAAGGCCTTTATGACGATCTTTCGGTAGATAGTAACTTCATTAGCTGAATGGGAAGGTATGGCCGAGAAGCTTCCGAGAGCAAAAATTTAGACAAATACTTTGAGGCGATGATGAAACAATGTCTAATAGTAGAAAAGCGACTCAGCCTTTGTAGAAACTTTGGATAAATTGTTCTTCAGATAATCCAACTTTCTGGGCTTGCAAGTATGAGAAACGAGGACGGCCGAAATCGGAGTTCTGGGAATGTGCTGCAGGAGACTAGTTGGGAGGAAGATATTGATGAGTCGAATTCAAGTCTAAATTCCGGCAAGCTCTAAGAGCGTACAGTAAGTCCAAATCTCGAAGTAACTAAATTCCTCGGAGAGCGAACATTTGAAACCAAATTCGAAACGCGCCCGCCCGCAATGAACGAGAAGACCAAGAATATAACTAGTGACCCGCAGGGGTTTGGCAGTATATGACATGACAGTTCGACCATCGATTTCGATGATGTCCACCGTGTGCCCCACAGCAGGTTGTAGCAGGGACGGTGACTTGCGCAGGGGTTTATAGTGCCAGTAGACTTGCGCTGCATCTACCTATACTCTCTCCACCTCCCTCGCCCGAGCCCGGTGTCAAGACAGAGTCAAGAAGACCGGAGATGAGGGAGGCCGCAGGTGGATGGCTCGGACGGATCCTCACCTTGGCGTTCCACCACACCCCCTGGTCCACACAACAAATAACCAGGATTTCAACCAATCACAACAGAGATTTGGAGGCTGGAACGGCCGAAGCCGCACCTAGGCATGCCGCCAACGCCTGGCTCGGATCCCACACTGTGGTGGGAGTGCCATAAAGGCCACATTAAAAAGGAGCCATTGCAGCCTGACTCTCAGACCGCCTCCCGTTAAGGAGGAGGTCCAAGGTACCCC